GCTATCTAGAATTATTTGGAAAGAATGCTTCTATCTTAATATACAAATAAAGAAGCCATTTGATATCGTTAAAGGAATATTTCAATAATAAATGATAAGTAACCTTTAAGATAAGAACAAAATTCAATAAATCTCCTATTGAAGTTTGTTTTCTTCATTCTCTACTGTCATTATTTACATTTTCATGTGTTGTTTATTTCTATTCATAAATGAATATTTAACAAAAGAAAGAACAACAAAATAAACAAATAAACTAGTATATTATAAAACCTGATCTTATTTGAATTTGATTCGTTTGTTTCAATATACTGATCATTGAAAGCTGTAAACTATTTCTTTTTTAAAGTCTGATTCTAAACAATAAATTTCCAACTACTGATAAAATACAAATGAACGGTAACTATTTTTTCTTCAATCCTAAGAATTATAGGTCGATGTTATAGTGATTAATCAAATGTTATTTCTAAGGTAAAAAGAAAAAAAATGTTCCGTTTTTGTTTAAGTTTCAATTTCAAAAAGAAGAAAAAACAAACATATTTCACTTTATTAATTAATTAATCCTTGTAGTGTCGGCTATTATGTTAAGTCCATATACCTTATTCTAGCTTTCGGACAACCCATTCTATTCATTCTACTTGAGTCATATTTTGACCTTGTTAATTATTCGCTTATGAATCTTGACTGTTTTTATATGAGCGCATATGTGTGTGCCCTTCTTATCCTATTCATCGCATGGCTGTAGCTTATTTTTGTGTGACTACAAATTTTGATTAACGTTTGGTTGGGTGGTGTTGGCTCATATGCCTTCTCCATTGTGTCTCATTTCGATTCGTTCTCTTATTTTCGCTTCTCCGATATTTTGTCAAAATCAACGATTGCGTGTAATAAACGCGTTCGAAATTCATCCTCTTATTTCACTTATTTATTACCGTTATTGACTAACGCGATTTAAGTCGATGATTATATACGAGGATAGGCGACATATATATTTCAATGACAATCATTCATACAATCTATTTGGAGTCAGATCCCAAGGCACTAAAGTGGAGAGTTCGTCAACAACATCGTCCGATCTAAATGGCAGCAAAATAAAGGGCCTCACTAAATGCTTATTCAAATTGATAATGCTTTCATAGATGATGCTAATACCATGATTGTCCTAGATGTATGTATGTTACTTCCCGAATAAGTAAGGATTGGTTATTTTCAAAAACAAAAAGGTAGAATCAGGAAGAAATTCACTTCCACTTTAATCATAAAGAAACATTACAGTTTAATATTAACCATTTTAGGTAGATTATAGTATTATCTTATAAAGGATATTTAAGGTAGATGTTGCTGAAACGAAATTATTTTTCATTTTATGTATCATATTGATTACAAATAAAATGGTTGTACATTAGAACTCTTTTGTTAGTTTAAATAAATAAACCATATACAAATAATTTATTCCTTCAGAGAACAAAGAAAAAAATATATTCTAATTTATACGAATATTCGTCAAGATTAGAACGAATAGTTTGACAGTAATTGAGCGCCGAGTATAGAGGAGTCATTATATGTGAAAATTATATTTGAAATATTCTCAGAGATTGAAACTTAACTAATTCCAACGTTTCGTTTGGCTTACTTCTCTGAACTTCTTCAGGGTGATAATCAAATTATATTTGAAGTATTTGATTATTACTCTGAAGAAGTCCAGACACGTTAGCTGGACGAAACGTTGGAATTAGTTAAATTTCAATCTCTGAGAATATTTCAAATATAATTTTCACATATAAATATATTTTCTTTCATTGAATTGTATGGAAACTTTTTCCAAATAAAGTCTACTTAAAAGATTCTTAATTGTTTATTCAATTTATTGACAATAATAAAATGGAATTTTCTTTTTCCTATTCCATTTACACTAAGTGTGTATAATCTTCACCATTAAAATGTAATTGTACTACAATATTTTACTACAGTTTGCGTAAAATTTAAAAAAAAAGTGGATACTACAAAGTATCTCTTCCTATGATACTCCTTTTAATTTCAACATATATTTTCCCTCCCAAAAATTAATCAATTGTGTCGTGTTTTGTTTTTGTTTTTTTTTATTGTAAATTATTACTTCAGTTTTTATTTCAGATCCAAAAATTCATCTAATGTATTCTAGTTTATTTGTTTTTTATGCTTGCAACAACAAACTAGAGAACCTAATGTATATAGATGCAGTCGAATATGATTTACAGAATATATTTTGATGATGTAAATTATTGGAAAAAAGAATCATTGGTTTATCTTGATTGAAAATCAACAGAAGAAGACAGAATAACCTTTTACAAATTGTGACAATGGATAAATAAATTGTTCTTATATGAAATTTGATTTCACGATATATTGTCCAATACTCATTCATTACCTGAGGTGAATAATTGTCTTACACCTGACACAGTTGAACTCCATTAATTAGGACTGCTCATTATGTATTCAGAGGTTGAATCTTGAAGCTAGTTCTGCGAACAGTGTTGTGGATATACATTGTTCAGGAGTCTCATGTTAAAAACGAAATTGCCATTCAGTGCCTTCATGTATTCGATGATGATCTAAGGTCATTTCGTGACATAAAATCTATGAAAAAAACTCTATCTCTCCACAAATACCTTTATATTAAACTGGATTTGTTAAATTTGTCCAGTTTTGTGAGATGAAGTTCATCAGAATTATGTGATATATTATTTCAATACATTTTTCCTTTACAATTCTTAAAAAGATTCATGTTTCACCATAAATATGAAAGGACTATATTTGATTATATCTCATTTTATTGTGTTTAACAAAATAAATACGTGTAGGCATACATTTTTAGAAAGTTATGATTCTGACATGCAAATAAACATAACTGAATAAATAATATAATTGAAGCCAAAGTAAATACGTTATGTAGACCAAATAACACCCATATTCTCTATACATCCACATATAAGAATGCTTTCAATTCAGCCTTTGTAGTATTATATGAAAGTGATCTAGGGCGGATACCTGAGTTTGATAAAGCCATACATATATAAAATCCCTCGCAGATTTTTTAGAGTACGTTACCGTCGTTTTAAATTTGACCTAATAATATTAATGTCAATTTATTATGTAGAATGTTAGGGTGTATTTTTCCTTACTTTTCTTTTAGTTCATTCGTTTTAATATTCTGTATCTTGTTTAAATTCATCTTTAATAATATAAATATATCATTCATTTATAAAGGATCAACTATTTAACTCAACTGTCCATTCAAAATATGAACAAAAACAAATGATTTATTTAAATTTTAAAATAATATTTTGAATTGGATACAAATGTTTTCAAACTCTGAGACACCTTAAGAAGTACATTTATTATAATGAATCGAAAAATTGACTTAGCGGGGATTTTACAACAAAACCTTATCCATCTTATCAACAAACTCCATTATTTAATGACAAAGCGTATGTCATTTGCGTTGTGTTTTTTCTTTCAGGCATTTGATTTACTAAACATGGTATTTGTTCAGTGATTGCAAACGAATCTAAACTCAAGTAGTTACATCGTTTATATAGAAGTTATTTTGGTGTAATCTATATTCCATCATGTATGCTAGATCAACATAACATTAAATTCAAAATGTAACTGATCGTATTGAGACATTTCAAACAGATTTAGGTAGAGTTACTAGCATTTTAAATGACGTACGTAACCAGTAGTATCTGTTAATATATTTTAGTCTGGTTCAAGTATTTAGACTTTGTACTTACCACCTGTACGTATGTTTACATTAGAAGCATTATTTGTTCTATAGAATTCCCCTAGATTGGACAAATTAACCTCATGATAAGTGATATAAAGAATCAACCTTGATTTTCACGCAATACTGCTGTGGTGCATGCTATTGACGTCAATATATATAAATAGTATGCATCATCAATCGTTTTTTTAGTGAGTTAGTTTTTAACGGGATGCAACAATCGGAAGATACCAAATCCTTTACATATCTGGTCAGCATCACTGATGAACACAGTGAATCTCATGCAGATGTGATGACACGGATCGGCAAAGCAAGAGCAGAATATCTACATCCAGAATTAAAAACAACTGTCAACCAACACTAAAGTCAAAATTTTCAATACAACTGTCAAAAGAGCTCTCCCGTATGAGACAGAAACTTAGAGAACTACTATTTATTAACAGTTGTCTATGCAAAATACTTCAGATCCGTTGGTCAAACACTATCAGTAACAACCTACTGTGGTAGAGAACAAACCAGATCCCAGCAGAGGAATAAATTAGAAAGAAGCCCTGGAAGTGGATAGGATACACATTGAGGAAAACACCCAACTGCACCACAAGGCAAGCCCTCAAATAGAATCCTGAAAGTAAAAGGAGGAGAGGAAGACCAAAGTACACATTACGTCGAGAAATGGAGACAGACATGAGAAAAATGAACAAGAATTGAATGGAACTAGAAAAGAAGGCCCAGGAGAGAGTGAGTTGGAGATACAACCAAAACAAAGAAGTAAACAATAACAGGTTTAATGTCAGCAAGAACCAATCAACATAGAGACATACAGGACAAACTGTGATACATATATGAAAAAATTCAAACACTTCTCTTCTACTTGAAGTTCACGCTGATGACATCGTTCAGAAGAACAATGAAAGCTTCAAGACTAAACCATCCAGCTCAGAGAACAAAACTTCATGAAAAATATCCCTAGTAAAGTATATTTCTACCGTTATTGGTACTCATATTTTTCCAATATAACAAAAAATGGGATATTCTTTTTTAAAAGTTTGAACTATTGAATGATTATATTACCATTTACTAATTTAAACATAAATCACTTAATAGAATTCAATCAATGTTTAAAATTGTATTGTCATTTAGATTGAAAAGTTAACCATTTTTATTAAATTACAGTAAAAAAAGTAATGAATTTTTCATTTTCATAATTAATATAAATAGAAAAATCAATAAAATAATTTACCTTCTGGTGTTTGAGGATCCATTGGTTGATTACCATTTTCTTTACGTTTAATTTGATCTTTATCAGTCTATCAAGTTAAAATTCGAATGTTTTATTAAATAAGTAAATATTTAAAGCCTTATTAATGACATTCTCAACAAAACAAAACTGTTGTTTTACTTTTTATGTGATAAATTGAGTATATCGGCATGTTAGTTATAGGATCTTCTATTGTTCGTAATAACTAATATCACATTAATTAAAATAATTAGTGTATCAGTATGTTACATTTTCATCTATTATCATTTGTACTGGTAACATAATTCAGTTATCAACTGTTTATTAACTCATCAATTATATTTCTTATTGATGTGAACAATTGGTTCAATTGAATACGATCACTACGCATAAAATACTAATCAACATTTCACAAACAAGTAAATTACAGTACATTAGTTTAGGTATATTGATTATTGATTTGAAATATATTTTCCCGATTTTCTTACAAGCTGTATTTTTTTTTCAGGGAAAAAAATCAAGTAGTTCTAATGATCCATAGTTATCACGCCTCAGGTATAGAGTCTAGATACTTTTTATATTAAATAACGTTTACTTGATAATAATAATTGTGTAGCAGGCAGAAAACAATATGAGTAATATTGGTGAATAAAAGCTTAAAGCCCTAAACGTACGTTTATTTAACACGACAAAACTTCATTGAAGACTAATAATTATGATTACCATATTGATATGGTATCAATCGTGTGAAAGCCATCAATGAATAAATTATCTAAAAGGCCTTCATTGTCTGTAGCCATTATCATCAACGTATATATATATATGGACTGACAATCATTTTGAAATTATAAATCACATGCTACCTATGTTTACTTTGATTTTATTCGGTTTATGATAAAAATTTATTCAAGCTGTCATGGAAATAAATGGTAGCAACATTCAAATCGTGAATTATTCCAGAGATGGACACAACTGTGATTCCATTTTTTTCATGAGAAGAAGATATATGAGTTTAATGGAAGTAATTTTTCTTGTTAGGCTTGAGAGATTTTTCTCCATTATTCTTTAAAAAGATAAATTTTCACTAATTACTTACCTTATCTTTTTTTAAAGAATGAAAGGCTCGTTTCCATAATCCTTTAATATTTTGTGGACCGGATGTTGTGACAGATTTCAGGTCACCAGAACCGTCTTTCTTCATATCAATAATTTTTAACTGAATTAAATGTAAATAAAAATGACTTATATTATGACATTTGTTTTATCTTAAATCAAACAATTATCAGTATAGAAGTTATAGAGATTGTTAAGTTTTTGATTGAGATCATAAACCGATTGATATTAAACCACTATTGAAAAACTGGAAACACTGAGTGGCCATTTCGTCCTATCGTGGGACTCCTCAACAGTGAGCATCCACGATTCCGGTCGCGGGATTCGAACCCAGGGCCTTCAGTCTCGCGCGTGAACGCTTAACCTACTGGACTACTGTGCCATTAACCTCAACCGACCTACGAAATTTTGCGACCATCTTCCATTGTACTGAGGTAGACACCTGTTTCTACCCGACACGGATTACATTCACAGTTTAAATAGACATGAATAAGAATATATTTAGTGCTGTAGAAAAGATGCAAAATATTAAAGTGTAGAGTTACTATTAATTAATTACTGAGAACATACAGGAAGCTCTAGATTAACCTTTTTTACAACTGCGTATATATGTGAATCATTTGAAGCATTTTACATTTCTATCTGTTGTAATACAATGTATTTTGAATAACGTGAAATTATTTTATATCATCAGTTGAAGATAATACTTTGTACAAGAACAGTAATTAACTTTAAATTATACAGAGCCTCTACTGAATAATAATTGTACATGCTTTAGTTTTAGTAAGAAGTTTTGACCAGATTATTTATATAGTAGTCAATAGTAGTAGTAAACTATAATTTTGAATGTATATTGGTATTGTATCAAAAATCAATTACAGTCTAAAATATTGATCTTCGGATTCAATATTTATGGTTTATCAACACCATAGTTGTCAAATGGTCTGCATTTACTCAGCTTGATTTCTATAAGGTCGTTGACGCATATACGTATGGAAAAAAATACGAGGAAAAAATTTATATCGGATACTCCACTATCTCAGATTCTTAGCTTAAATACCATATTTAAGCGTTTTAATAATGTTGTTCTTTGTCTGTCATAAAATTTCTTTGTTACTAATTAGCAAAAACGTAAAAAATGAACTCAGAATCTAACTATAAAACTATATTTTAAAGTCTTATATTGCATATATACATATAGCTTTGTTTACTAACAGATAACTAAAGGTTTCCTTTAAATTCCACAGACAGGTTATGTATATTACTAGCCTAAAATGTTTAAAAATTCAGTAGGTTGCAAAATACTAAATGGTTAAGGATATGAACGACCCATTATTGATGTAAGATTACTAAATTAACGATAAACTATCAACACAGCAAAACATAATTTGATTTGATTCACTGAATTTTCGTATAACAACCAATGTTGTTTTACAAATATGAGTAGCTATAATGTTTTCAGTTTTGAAAGAAATTAATTCAGCTATTCAATACCGAAAACCCAAGGATTTTAAAATGTCACTTCAATTTCAAACGATGATCTCAAGTCTTGAATCCTCCGAACTATAATATTTCATCATGTGTTTATTTTTTTTTACAAAAGAACGACTACCTCTAAATACACTTCAATTTAGTCAAAAGTCAAATGTCGAACAATATATAATCTCTTAAAGTTAATTCAGCAATTGATTAAAACCTTCATATTTAAATACATTTCAGACTATAATCAATTGAAGACCAATGTATACACGAATTATATTTAGAATAGATAATAAAACTTCACCAATGAATTCTTTGACAAAGAAAGAACAATTAGATTTATGTAAAGGAAATAATGTCACAAATGTGTTACGTACCGACAAGAATAATGAATGATAACTTTTGGAATCTGTTGATGGACCAATACTAACGTATGTTTCTATTGTATAATTCTTAAGTAACTAAACTATGCATATTCATATTCCTCTTATTATAAGATTTATTTTGACCCATAAACTATTATTATACCTTTTACCATTCTTGAGTTATAGCCAATATATTAATTAATACCTCCCTCATTCACAGCCACATCTGGCTAAATCTTGTAAAGATGTTGTTTCATAATTTATTGGTACGTTGTGGTCTGTTTGATTGAGATATAAACAGAGTATGTTTACAATACAATGATTCATATTGCAGAAGCTGAGACTAGTGTTCTGGACTTAACTGGCTGAGCTAGGCGGAAAGCAGGACCAATTAGGACTCTAGAATGATTGCATGTGTTTTACGTATCCTTGGTCCGATCGATAATTCACTGCCCTCTAATCAGTGGTCACAAGTTATAACAAAACGAAATCAACAATGTTTAGTGTCTTTCATTCAACTTTACGGGATAAGATTTACTTTTTACAAAAAAGACTGATAAATACAAAATTTCAATAGTTGAAATCATGAGTCCATTGAAGCTAGACCACCATGGAAAACCTGGAAGCATTAGACAGCCATTTTATTTTAGTATGAAACTCTTCAACATGATAGTCTAGCTTCAATTGACTCATGATTTCAACTATTGAAATTTCTAAAATCTCTACAAAACCCCTTCTGAAAATACAAAATTGTTTATGACATTTTCTTTAATAAAGTAAAAATGAAATCATAAACAAAACATATTGGGTTAATTGAATTTAAACAACTTTTAAAATGTTTATTTGATCTCGATTGAAAAACAATCCATTATGAATAACACACAAAATAAGTTCGTGTAAAATAAAGAAAAAATAATAATAATAAAGCTGCTTGACATTGATTGAGAAATTAATCTAAGTCTATCTTTAATATGATTGATAAAGTTATCTACATTTACAAACATACTATCTTACACAGATAATGTTATGTAATTCAATTTACTAAAGTTCAATGAAATAAGCTGGAAACGAATGAATTTAATGACCGTAATATATATATATATATATATATATATATATATATATATATATATATATATATATATATATATATATATATATATATATATATATATATATATATATATATATATATATATGTTCAGACAATTATAGATGTTTCGCAAAGTACAGATATTACTTTTTTCTTTCTACTGAATTCATATCAATGTTATACCAATAATGCATTTTCTCATAACTTTTGCTTTTATTCTATAAGTACATATTTCTATATTCTATGTAGTATGAAGTTCAATAAAGAAATAAACTAGGGAAAATCAATTCATTTCCTTATGTTTACCTTAATACTAAGTAATCAATAAATGAATAGACAAATAACTGAAGTATTTTTGTATGGACAAAATATATTTTTATAATCATTATGATTATACAAATGAAGATGATGTATACAGGGCAATGGTTGTTTCCATGGCACTATTTTGAATAAATGCATGATTTATCTCATTAACAATGATTTTATTATGGCTAACTACCTTAAAATAATTTTTAAAAAAACCTTTAAAGATAGTATGGAAAATATTATCAGCAGGTGCATTGTGTAGTAGTTATGATTCTAGATTTGAATACAAATTTGTCAAACTGCATAACTTTGCTAAGTATCGTAGAAAAAATATATATCGAAATGAGACTGTTTTTAATAAACGTCATCTTAAGTCACTCAGCAAAACTATGAAGCTTGTTTGTCGAGATATTTTGAACAATGTCAGTTCACTACCTTGTACACATTGATTGACAATATTTATTTGATAAACATAAATAAACATTCAATTAATCACGGAACGTTTATATATATATTGACGCTTTTGACAATTTAACTAGAAAATTTATAGTCTCGAGAATACAGTTCTTAAACGTCCGTTGATTAGTTGAAAGTAAAACAATATGTAAAATAATATGTTTCAATGAAAAAGATATACGTGAATGACTACAATTAGATCAATGGCGTATATCTTTAATGTAATGTTTATTTCCATAAATTACAGTATGAAGCTTTGAGTCATCAAGTCCACTGTTTTTGAAATGTGTCATTTACTCCCTAATATTATTGTGTGACAGTCAGTTTACATCTTAACTCAAAGACTATAACTGAGACATACACACTTATTGTATGAAATCTTCATAGTGTCACTGCAGTAAACTAATATATCTCAGAATAGATTAAGGCGGTATATTACAACGGTATTTTTCAAAAGTAAGAGCAAAGAAGGATATATATTGATGTTTTATCCTTTTTTAACAAAGGATAAAAACAATATAACTTCCAAAACTGAAAATGCAATATTTCACTTTGTTCGAAATTCTAAATAAATTTCATGATTTGCTTGTTTTCAAGAACACATTACGTCAATATATCAAAATAATCATCATGATTAAACATTTGATTACCATTAGCGTTTTTGGATAAAGGGTGAAGGAACACAAACTGTGCTTAAAGCACATTCCTAAATCCTCAATTGATGTAAAAAAGCTTGAGAACAGATCAACGATAGCATTACACTCGATTGAATCGGGTGATACAGTTGATTTCAATGGCACGAGAATCATTCTAAAAGGATTTAATTCTTACAAAGAACGACTAACAACCGAAGCCCTACATATATGGGCTAATTCAAACAATATTAATATGAGAGATGGAATACAACTAGCTGTCCCACGGCAACTAACAATTAATAAGTAAACCTGATCTCCTTTTTGCCATTTGATATATTTATGACATAGTAACTAATTTGATTACCATTGTATACATATATATAGGCTGAAACATACTCAATCAACTTTATTACAACCCATAGTAAAAGTTTACTAGGTCATACAAAGAGTATATAGCAGATTTACTACACTGAACTCATTTGCACTATTTACATCCACACTTCTATATTACTTTACACAACGCTTGGGTTAGTAATGAGCGCCCATAATAAAACAACCATAATTTTAGAATAAAATGAATATCTTTTAATACAGAGTTTATAACTAGCCAATAAATAGAAATACAGTCAAATTAATATGAGCCTATAAAAACGTGCTTCATTTAAATGATTACTAAAAAATAAAACCAAATTAAAAACTAGTTTTTGATTGAAATCATGGGTCAATTGAAGCTAGACCACCATGGAAAACCTTGAAGCACTGCACGGCA